TTCATTGTAAAATCACTTTGATAAAGTGTGGGTCATGTTGAAATCTCTTAAAGATTAATATTGTATAAGGATCGATTCTCCTTATTGTAAGTCACCGTGTGGGTCATATTGGGGTCTCGTAAAGCTCAATAGTGTGGGTCGTGTTGAGATCCTGTAAAGCTCAACATTGTATAAGGATTGGTGCTCTTTGTTTGGAAGTCGCCAAAATCGTTGTAAAGGGTTGAATTGCAACATAAATCAATTAATATAGTGAAAAGGCCTTGCTCGTGCTGGAGAGCTTGGTAACGGAGGACATAGATCATTATTTTGGATCGAATCTCCACAATTACATCGTTTTCATCTTCTCTCTCTTTTACTTATCGTTTTTATATTTGTGCTTACTATTTGAATTAATCTATTTAGTATTTAATTGCTTGAATTTAGATTAATTCTTCGAAAAAATTTTAAAAATCAATTCACCCCCTTCTTGGTTAGTTATTCTTGTGCTATCAAATGTAACTACTCATACATGGCCTGATAGGCTTGGTCACTTGTCTTTCCAGAAGTTAAAGATGATGAAAGATTGTTTAAATCTCCATTGTAATAGATAGAAGAATAATTGTTTAATTTTATGTTTTATCTGTCCTTTGGCTACACAAATGAGACTTTCGTTTGTCTCAAACAACCATTTGTTTCAAAATGCTTTTGATTTGATCCACTATGACACTTAGGGTCCATATCATGCCCCAACACATGCTGGTCACAGGTTCCTCCTTACATTAGTTAATGATTGCACTCGTTTCACATGGACCTATCTTATGAAGCATAAATCAGATGTAAGCTATATTATTCCCTAGTTTTTCAACATGATTGAAAATTAATTTCACACATGATCAAAAAAATTCGATCTAACAATGCACCAGAATTGCAGTTTACAGAATTCTTTGCCTCGAAGGGGGTTATATATCAATTCTCATGTATTGAAAGATCTAAACAAAACTCAATAATTGAAAGGAAGTACCAGCATCTACTCAACGTAGCAAGGGCTTCTATTTTCAGTCCAAAATTCTTATCCAGTTCCAAGGAAAATGTATACTCGCATAGGGATGGCAAAAAAATATGTTCAACTCGATACTCGCGGTGCCCGCCCCGAATGGGATGGGAATTACCCGTCTAACTGAGTAAATGGGACGGTGACGTGGGTCATTACCCTAAAGCAGGTATGGGACAGGTACAAAAAACATAGCCTCCGTCCGGCTACCCTTCTGTTTAATGTTAATTTCAAATTTAAACTTTTTATCAAACAAAAATAAAAGATTCGTCAACATTTTTAAAGACGACATAAGTTGTTCTTAACAATTTTTTTAAAAAAAGAAATAATATATACTAACTAAAGATATTAAAAAAAATAAAAGCAAAAAAATAAAATAAATAAAAAATAAAAAGAAAAATAAACTCGACGATAAATATGTCCCTGCCTCGAACCCACCCCTTCCCACTTTAACCGGATATGGGGACGGGGCAAACTGACAAAAGTACCCGATGGGACGGGAATGGGAATGGCAAACTCGTCTCGTACCCACCCCATTGCCATCCCTATACTAAACCATGTTTCTATTAATCTCATTAATAGAACATAATCTCCAATCCTACATAATAAACCCCATTTTTCCTTTATCTACAACTCTCCAGCACAATATATTTATCTTAAAGTATTTGGCTACCTATGCTTTGCTTCTACTTTGTCATCTCATCGTCCAAAATTTCACCCAAGAGCTAAAACTTGTGTGTTCAATGGCTATCCACCTGGTATTAAATGATATAAGCTATATGCTATGTCACCAAGTCATTTTTCATTTCCAGACATTTGATATTCCATGAACACCTTTTTCCCTTTCATTTTATTCCACGTGATCATGAACTAACGGATTCCTTTCCTAACCTCGTTTTGCTTAAATCTGCAATTGACATTGCCCCCACCATGTCAAAATCCTTCTTTAATTCCTGATCCAGTACAAAAAAAAACTCTAGCCATTGTGCTGATATTGCACCGTCAACACTCATTTATCTCAAACTTCCACTCCATTCTCACATATAGTTCCGAGAAGATCTACTAGAATCACAAACCTCCATCCTATCTTCAAGAATTTCATTGTAATCTCCTAGCAAACACAAATACTCCTTATCCTCTAGCAAAATACATTTCTTACAAGGCTTTTTCCCTTCTCACCGTACCTATCTATTAAATGTTTCTTCCAGTTTTGAGCCGCAATATCATCATCAAGCTGTTAAATTGGATCATTGGAAAAGGGCCATGGCTAATGAACTAGAGGCAATGGAATTTAACAACACATGGTCGGTGGTTACTTTGCCTAAGGGAGATCATTCCATAGGCTACAAGTGAGTGTATAAAATAAAGCACAAGTCTAATGGGAGTATTGACAGATACAAGGCACACTTAGTAGCAAAGGGATACACTCAGCAGGACGGTCTGGACTTCTTTGAAACTTTCTCTCTGGTGGCTAAGCGTGTAACGGTTAAGATCTTTCTAGCTATCAAAGGGATACACTCAGCAGGAAGGCCTGGACTTCATTGAAACTTTCTCTCTGGTGGCTAAGCATGTAACGGTTAAGATCTTTCTAGCTATTGCAGGCATCAATAAATGGAAAATCACCCAGTTGGATTTAAATAATGCATTCCTAAATTGTGAAGAGATTTTTATGGATCTACCTTTGGGATATGCTAAACATAATAATACTGGTTCATAAGCGGAGAAACTGGTTTACAGATTACACAAATCCATTTATGGTTTAAAGTAAGCTTCAAGACAATGGTTTGTTAAATTTTCTAATGCTCTCATTTCACATGGTTACGTTCAATCAAAATCTGATTATTATTGTTTACTAAAGGATTTGGAAGTACATTTGTGGCTATACTACTATATGTAGATGACATAATCATAACCGGTTCGGATTACAAGGCTGTTGATTCTTTAAAATCCTTATTACATAGCCCATGTTTGTTGTGGATTAAAATTAAATTTTAAGTAGATTTTGATTAAAGTTGTTTAAATATATGATTGAAAAATTGTAGGATCCATAAAATATGCGGTTAAGATTGATTATTGATTTTGACTTAAATTAAGAGCCTGTTTGTCATAGAGTGATGAATAGTATTTTTTGGAGAATGTGATTGAAATTTAAAGTAACTTTATTAGTTTGTGTGTAGAATATTTTATTGGGTGAATGTGTGCTGGAGAATCTTACTGTACCAAACAATTTTTTAGGATAATGGTAGACAAACAGAGCTAAAATTTGAATTTTAATTGGTATCAAACATGGGCATAGTCTCTTCAAATTAAAAGATCTTGGAAGTTCGAAATATTTCCTTGACTTTGAGATTGTCTGCTCCCATAAAGGAATCTTCCTTTCTCAAAGGCACTACACACTGCAATTGTTGGAAGATACTGGCTTTTTGCTTGCAAGCCAACCCTGTTACCCATGAATCCCAAAGTTAAGCTCTGTTCATTCGAGGTAAAGCTTTTTCCTAATGCTTCCAGTTATAGAAGATTGATTGGTTGTCTAATGTACTTAACTATATCCAGATTGGATATCACCTTTGCAGTTCACAAGTTAAGAATTTGTTGCTCAACCTAAAAAACCTCATTTAGATGATGCTCATCATCTTTTGCAATATATCAAAGCTACTCCAAGACAGGGGCTGCTATTTTCAGCTGTTTTTTTCCCTCCAACTTCGTGCATTTGCTGATTAGGGCACTTGCTTCGATACAAGGAAATCAGTAATAGGTTTCTGCATCTTTCTTATTGATTCTTTGGTTTCTTGCAAAGCTAAGAAACAAAGCACGCTGTCAAAGTCATCAGCTGAAACTGAATATCGTACTTTGACATTCACAACCAATGAACTCATTTGGGTATCTCAACAACATGATTTCTAGATTTCATCCCATGTTCTTGCTCTTATTTTCTATGACAATCAAGCAAACATACACGTTGCAAGCAATCCCATCTTTCACAAGCAAACCAAACATATCGAAATAGATTGTCATTTCATTCGAGACAAAATTACTGATGGATTTGTCAAACTGATGCCTGCTCGAACACAAAACCAATTGGTTGATATCTTCACCAAGCCTCTTCCTGCTAATCTGTTGTTCCCTTTATTGTCCATCTTAAGAGGAAGTAACAGAATACAGTTAACAAGGAAGTTGAAGGTGGTTTGCAATGTGGTCTAGCTCCAGCTCAGTCTGCACAAGCTCAATTCAATTAGGCCGCTAGTTAGCACATGTCATCTTTGTATTGATTGCATCGTTAGTTAGAGATTCCTATTTATAGGCGGATGTAATGCATACTATGGTGAGTAATTCAATTCAATGCAATTATATTCTTCTCCATTTCAATACAAATAATTAATCAGTAAGATAATCAATGTAACAAAATCAACTCGAGATGAAAACTCCCCAACTGAAATGAGGATGATGATAACAACATTTTAGTATTGATTTTGTGGGATTTCCTTCATCAACAATTTCAAATAGTAATTCCGATTAAACATGCCAAGCTAGTATGGTACCAAGATTCCTCAGCATCCTAAGTATAATTCACCCATGTTTACTAACATCAAATCTACTAAGTAAAAGATCTTCATAAACAGGGGATGACTCCATGAACTAGAAATTCTGGGGGAGAAATTTCAAAAGCAAAATCATCCAAATAATTACTTCAAATCCCCAGTTAATACCTGCACAAAGATTGATATAATTCCCAACTACATATGTACAGCAATCACAAACCAAAAAAAAAATTGTATCATTCAGAAAAAGAGTTATGCTTGATGCAACACACTTGAGACATCGAGAATATTACTAATTCATTGAATTACTCCAAATTTTTACATCTCAAATTCCGTAAATCCACCAGAAGCAAATAACCAAATCCAACAGCACTAAACTAAAGCAAAGGTACCAATTATATTGCCAAATTCAATTACTAGATCTAATACCTCTAAGCCCTTTCACCCCTAATCCTCCTGGCCAACTGGATATCCTTAGGCATAATAGTAACTCTCTTGGCATGAATAGCACAGAGATTGGTGTCCTCAAAAAGTCCAACCAAGTAAGCTTCAGCAGCCTCTTGTAGAGCCGCCACGGCAGAGCTCTGGAACCTAAGATCCGTCTTGAAATCTTGAGCAATCTCCCTAACAAGCCTCTGGAATGGCAATTTCCTTATCAAAAGCTCAGTGCTTTTCTGGTACTTCCTGATCTCCCTCAGCGCCACCGTTCCGGGGCGGAATCGGTGAGGCTTTTTCACTCCTCCGGTTGCGGGGGCCGACTTCCGTGCCGCCTTTGTTGCCAGCTGCTTCCGGGGTGCCTTGCCCCCGGTTGATTTCCTGGCTGTCTGCTTTGTGCGCGCCATTGGTAAGAATTCTTGATGCTAAATGCTAATGGAGAATGCCAAATTTTTGTTTGTGTGATAATTAATGGTGGGATTGAATGGGGATTTATAGGGGTTTTGGGTGAAATGTGAAGAGCGGGAAGATTTCAAAATTTCGAGGTTTTTGGAAGTGAGACTGTGAGAGAGTTTGGACTGTTGGATTAACTGTCATTTCACCGTAGGATTCCTTAGGAGTTTGATTGACGAGGATCGCATCGGAGTATAATTTGTCGAGAAAGTATTTGAACCGTGTATTGAATTGTTATTAACGGATAGGATTGATTGGAGATGACCGACGCGGATCACTATCTGGACTTTTTTACAGGTGTGGAAACTAATTTTGTGAATTTGAATAAATTTTCGTATAAATCAAATTAAGCACTTGTTTGATGAGATTAAATTTAAACTTTTAGTAATTACTAGTTTTAGGCCGTGCGATGCACAGGTTGTGTTATTTTGAATGTGATATTAGCGTTGTATGATAGCGTAATTAGATTAATATTGTAAAACATTTGTAGAGAAATAAAACTATATGTTACATAGATGGGAAAATGTTTATAATAAATGAATGCACGAGCATAAAAGCCATCATTTTAATACAAATAAATCATTTGAGCAGACTTGTATGC